CATCAGTAAGAGCGAGATGCACTCCATCGCTAGTTTCACTGAACAGGACATTCGGCGTTTGTACAGCAGGTACTATAGGTGGTCTGAGTTTTTCACGTTATTCCCCATATATCAGGTTCCAAGCCTTGGACAAGGATGGCAATGGCCAATTAGATCCATCAGAGCTACTTGGTAAGGCCAGTTGAAGACGTTTGTCAACGTTCCGTACGGCAGGCGTTAAGGAGATTTCAGAGAACCCTTTAGTACAGCGAGTTGTTAGTATCTTCGACGTGGATGGCAATGGTAATAGCTTGCGGACTACCATCCTTTCAATTGATCGGGTAACACGATTCGAGTTCAGGTACAGTATCATTCATAGAGTTCTTAGTCGGCCTGGCTAGAGTGGCGGTCGGCTCCGATGAGGAAGAAAAGCTCAAGTTCGCATTTGAGGTGATTCCGCTACTTGGAAGGTTCAAAAATTTTTTGCTTCTTTCCCGTCATCATCGCTCAGTATTCATCGTGGAGTGCAGCGTACCTCGACGGTTTCCGCTATATGAAATACTTGGCTCTCCTTCCGTGGGACTCCTAGGGGAGCCGAGCCAAAGTTCTCTCGTTTAGAGGCCCACTGGATGGGAGAAATACTAGAGTACCATCTTTGTGCTTTCAGGTGTACGATGTGGATAAGGATGGATACATCAGTAATGGCGATCTTTTTCAAGTGAGTCTATCCACCAGCTATCTAGATTACGATCGTCCGTCGGCAGGTGATGAAGGTGATGGTCGGTGAGAATCTCACGGAAGAGCAGCTCCAGCAGTTGGTAGACCGCACAATAAGAGACACCGATAAGTACTGCTGTATCCTGTCTTTTTGCCATACATCAGTCCTACAGGAATATGGATGGCAAACTGTCCTTTCTCGAATTCAAGGCTGCAGTTGAGAACATCAAAGTTGCTGAGCAGCTAGCAGTTGATATCTGATCTTGATGCTTGCCTCTCACTACGTTGTCTTCTCACGCTCCATACAGCGATGCACGCTGCACCATGCAGTTTATCCACTAGAAGTATATAACATTTTTCGTGCTGTGATATTAGCCTGATAGTTTTCAACTCGGCCCGTTATGGAGTTCAAGTCGACAAATTTATTCGTGCGGAATAGTAGAGCTGCCTTGCGCATGAAAATATCCCGG